CATACGAACCACAGCGAGGTAATGCATACGCCCATTAATATTCAATGCTTGTGTTAAAGGAAGATGTGGTGGAGATCCGCATGATATCTTTTTCCATCGAGTTGATCCATCTCCTTCTAGTAGGAAGACCCAATGTTCTGACAAGAACGAGTACTCTCCACCTTCGTCACTGCGTCTTGAAGCTATACAAACCACTTTATATTGATCATGAACAGGATCGTGTCCCATAAAGCACATGATCTCCTTAATCTTATGATCATCTTCAGCTATGATGCTAGATTCTTCTATGTCCGGTAAGACTACAAGTTGCCTAGTGGTAGTGTTATATATTTGTGCACTTGGCCCATTGATAAAGCACATCAATCCACGAAAAACGTTAGAGGTGTAGCCTCTCATTGCTGGGATGGTCAAATCTTGGTCGCCGTCAAAGGAAGACATAGTAGTACCGTCCGAGTCACAACTAGGAGACGATGATAGTAATATCTTTTTGAGGTGGCTGTTGTCAAAGAAGCTCAAACTCATGTATAGACGAGGTGGGGATGATGAAACCCTCAGGCAAAGGTTGGTGAAATTTCGGGAACAAATCAAATATAACCAGTGCTTTGAGACGGATTTGAACCTCATAAGGGATTTAGCAGGCAGTCTCGTGAGAATCTCAGTTACCAGTTCTAAAGGAATCTCCGGCAACCGCTGGTGGCTCTTCATTCTTCTCTCCAATGTCACAATAGTTTGTGACGGAAAGATTTTGGTAGCCTCACAAACTTATATACTCTTATCTTTTTGGTATCTATATATAACTAGGTCTAGCCATAATATACGACCCCGAGGACCCGACCCAAAAATTCCGATTCGAACCCAAAATTTTAAAATACTTAAATGGGTCATAAACCTCAAGACCCGAAAACCTGAACCCGATCCGAACCCAAATCCAAACATTTGCCCAAACATATCCACATTAAAAAAGTAGATATTAACAATATATTAGTAATATTTCTATTTTAATAAAGAAAGTATTATCTTCCAATCTTTATTTATTTAAATACATAAACTTTTATATTATTTAATGTTTAAAAACCACACTCCTACCATTTTTTTTTGCTCAAATCAAAATCGCTAAATCTTTTGTCTTTCTATATATTAAAAAGAAATATTTGATTGCGTATATTAGAAGAATTTATTCGCAATTGGAACTCAGAAAGACACGTCTAAGTCAGGAGAAGACGACGTTGATATAAATATAATTACATCCCTGTTTTCTCTATATAAACAAAAGCATCTCCTCATATATATATGTTGCTTTCGTTTTCTCTCGAACATTTTAAAAATATTTTCTTCGTTACGATATATACATAAGTTACTTTCACAACTTTGCTAATATAGGAGATCACATGATTATTGGATCGTTGTCTTGCTTTTTTTATTTGCTTGAATCAATAAAAAAATATTGGGATTACCCCTTATTAATATTTGTTCTAGCTTTTTTTTTTTTTTTTTTTTTTTTTTTTTTTTTTTTTGATAACCCAGTATCCAGACCACACAGTGATCTGACTAGCCCACTGAGCCTAAGCCCGTGTCACAGGGATTTTTAAGCCTCCACTTAAGGGCCCCCTGATAAACTGGTGGTCTGGTGGTCTGGGGCGCCTGAGCAAGTCCGCAGGTAAATTCCCAGGTGGCCACAGGAGTGAAAGAGCGAAACTGCGTCTGGGGAGGATCGATTCCTGGCCTAGACCAACAGGGTGATCCTTCCAACCAAACGAGAACCACTCGCCCACCACCATGTGGTTATATTTGTTCTAGCTTAGTTACAACTTACATTTGTGTTAATTTGTAATGAAACAGCTAAAACAAATTAAATTGTAACTATGGTAAAAAACAAATTTAAGTCGTAACTAAGGTAGAACACACACATATTCAAGCTAGGTAATGCATACGCCCACTGATATGCAATACTTGTGTTATAGGAACAACATGTGGTGGTCATTAATGGCTTGGAATCTTTCTCCATCGATTAGATCCTCCTAGTAGGAAGATCGAATGCTCTGACGGGTACGTGTAATCACTTTATACTGATCATGAACGGGATCGTGTCCGATATGGTACACGATATTTTTATGGTTGTGATCTTCAGCTATGATGTCGGATTCTTCTATGTCAGGTAAGACGACAAGTTGTCTAGTGGTAGTGTTATACTGTTATATATTTTCGCACTTGGCTCATTTACGAAACACATCAAGCTACGTAAGTAGCCTTTCATCGGTGGGATGGTCAAATCTTGGTCATCAGTTACAAAGGAAGACAAGTCCGAGTCAGGAGAAGACGACGTTGATAGTAATACACCCATGTTGTCTATGTCCGTCCCGTCCAGCCACATGTATATATAGACGGGGACACGGGGTGGTGATGATGAAACTTTTAGGAAAAGGTTGGTGAAAGTTTTGGAACAAATCAAAAGTGACCAGAGCTTTGAGACGGATTTGAACCTCATAAGGGATTTAGCAGGCAGTCCCGTGAGAATCTCTATCACGAGATCAATGGGAATATCCGGCATCGGTTCCTGGCTCTTGCATATGTCTCTTTGTCTTCTTCTTCTTTTTGTTACCGTCGATCTCCTCTTCATTCTTCTTCTCTCTCGCTGGATGATGACGACAAGGTTAGAAAAAGCCATATTGGGAATATTGAGAATATAATATTTTATTTGTTTATAGAGAAATTTGTCTTAATTGTTTTGTTATTTGAAAAAAAAAAAGTTTAGTCTTCCGTATTCAATAGCATCTTATCCTGGTCCGTGGACCATGGCTCACTACTAGGGTGACATGTTAGCCACAATGACGTTTTTCTTATAGCCAAAAAAAAATTTATATTAAATAAAAATTTGGTTATATGTAAACTCCGGTAGTACCAATATTTGATCATGCTTATCTTTTTTTTTTCCATGAATAAAGTTTATTAAATATGAAAAAATTGCACAAAAAAATAAATATGGATTTTAGTGATGATTAAACTAATCATAAAACTTGATCCAAAATCAAACCGGGAAATTTTAAATAAATCTTGCTAAGTTCTTCCAAAACGGGTTGCTTTGTTATATAACAATGCATACTACACCAGACAATAATGCTTGCCTATCTGGATGGATATCACTATCCCAATCGCGGCGAATAAGTTAACAGTGTCCAATAACATGTATAGTGCAGATATAAAGAATGTGTTACATATCTACAACGACCAAAAAGAAAAAAAAAACATGTATATGTATGGGAGACTCACAAAAATGCCCCTTTTTCAATACCCCTTTTCAAAAATGCCCCCTTTGGCTGTCCATTTTTAAAAATACCCATTTTTATGTACAAAATGGCTAAATTACCCTTCTTTTAATAAAATATATCACAAATATATAAGGAAATATAACAAAATTAGGTCTACAAAATACAAAATATTTTTTGGCGGGAAAATTGATCCCGCAATTTTTCCCGCCAAAACACTTGTAAAACCTTGTAAAAAACCTTTAAAATACCTTGTAAAATTTTCCCGTAAAATTTTTCCCGCCAAAAAATTTTCCCGCCAAAAAATTTTTTTTGCGGGAAAAGTGATTCCGCAATTTTTTTGGCGTTAAATTTTTGGCGGGAAAATTTTTCCCGCCAAAAATTTACAAGGTATTTTAAAGGTTTTTTACAAGGTATTTATAAGGTTTTACAATGTATTTTAAAAGGTTTTACAACGTATTTACAAGATATTATAAGATTTTACAAGCTATTTTATAAGGTTTTTACAAGTTATAAGGTTTTACAAGTTTTTTATAAGGTTTTACAAGTTATAAATACCTTATAAAACCTAATAAGTACCTTGTAAAACCTTTTAAAATACATTGTAAAACCTTACAAAACACTTGTAAAAAACCTTTAAAATACCTTGTAAATTTTTCCCGCCAAAAATTTTCCCGCCAAAAAAAAAAATTGCGGAATCACTTTTCCCGCAAAAAAAATTTTTTGGCGGGAAAATTTTTTGGCGGGAAAAATTTTACGGGAAAATTTTACAAGGTATTGTAAAGGTTTTTTACAAGTGTTTTGGCGGGAAAATTGCGGGATCACTTTTCCCGCCAAAAAATATTTTGTATTTTGTGGACCTAATTTTGTTTCAAATAAGGGTAAAATGGTCATTAAAAATTAAAAGAGGGCAAACTTAAAAATGGACTCTCAAAGGGGGCATTTTTGAAAAGGGGTATTGAAAAAGGGGCATTTTTAACAATTTCTCTATATGTATCTATATATACATTTTTGGAGTACATTTAGTAAATAAATCCTAAAGTTAGGATGTATTTACGAGTCCATGCCACTGTATTTAATTATTTTTTTTATATTTAAAGATTAAGATTTGCCGTATAACAATATTGCCATAATATCTCTATATTAACTCAAATGTTAGTTTCTAAAATCTTACCTACGAGATTTTTGAGAACATTTAATTAATACCAAATTATCATTTTGATATTCCTAATCTACATATCTCTAACGACTCCAAAAATGTAAATATAGATTAAAAAAATATATAACAAAATGATGTTTAATTTCACGGGATGGGGTTATATGGTGGGACATGTTTGGGTCGATATTAATACGGGACGGTATACTATGGATGAAATCCTAGAATTAACAAATCAAATACAATTATATAATTTTAAACACTAAAGAAAACAAATAATATTCACAAAACAAATATAACTTAAAATTTAAAAATTTTAGTTATAAAAAATTGACCCGAGATGTACTACGAGATAATATATATACATATATATGTACATTTAAATCAAACAAAACAATAGATTATATGTATAGATAATTTTTTAAAAATAAATTTTAAATTTTTTTAAAATAATATAGCCCCGCGGTGTACCGCGGGTTAATTTCTAGTATAGATATATTTTGAAAAAGGTTTCTCTGTTCTAAAGTGATAAAAGGTTTAAAATTTGAATTTAATAAAAAATTAGGATTACTCAACGGAAATATGAAACTGACCTTTTATTCTCAAAGCAAAATTGAAAAAATAAGGTCTAGCTAGAGTCATGTACTCATGTTAGATGGTAAAACAATTAGGACCTCAAATCAGCCTATTTAGATAATTAGATAGTATCTAATAGTCAACTTAACATAACTAATTTGCAATCAAACATAAGAAGAAGAATGCATTATCATTAAACAAACCAAAACTGAAGCAGAACCAGTTTGAGTTCGATCGATTTCCCTCATACATATATGGAAAACTGATCGAGGTCAAACCAGTTTGCATTAGTCTCCTCAAGTTCCTGTTGAGTGTTGTTGGAAAACCAATCATCGAGGGAGCTTTCAAAATTAGTCTCGAAATCAACGAGTTGATCAATATCAATATCCATCTCTGGACCATAATCCAAGTTTCCTTCAGGTAAGGCATTGTTGTTGTTGTCCGTCACACAAAAGCTTTCACAAATCGAGAGGATCTGATCCTGCTCTTCATCATCGAGTACAACGAGATCATCAGGGACGCAACAAATTGTAGAAGTAGTGGACTGAAGATTTAGGGTTTGATCTGGCTCTTGAGTAATATTCTCGTTGATATTTTCAGGTAAATCATCAGGAATGCAACAAATTGCGGAAGTGGACTGAAGATTTAGGGTTTGATCGCTCTTCTCGTTCTTCTTCAAGTCCTTGTGATCATTAACGAAAGCTTCATCCGCACGCAATTCCTTGAGATTACTCAACAACGTCCACATGGAATCGACCGCGTCACTAAGCTCTTGAGGATTCTCCGATCTGGCAAGGCTCTCGTTATTCCACCAAAACCCTAACCCTAGATTCTTTCGATTCAGGCAAATACCAACGTCCTCCCTCGTCTCTTTGTTATCCTCCGGAACAGAAGCCGAAACAGGACGTTGTCCAGAGAGAAAAGCAGAGACAACGGCATCAACGGAGGAGTGACCGAAAGAGTAGAAGGAGACGTTGGATTCAGAAGAAGGAGGAGTCGCCAAGATAGCGATTTGAGCACCGGAGAGAAGACAAAGCTGAGAGGCTTTGCTAAAGAGACCTTCACGGCGTTTGGTGCAAGTAACCCTAAGAGAATCTCTCTTCTGTATCATCTCAATCGCAATCTTCCTCTTCGTGCCTCCTTTTTTCACCATTATGATTTTCTCAATTTCACAACAGAGAGACTCAGAGAGATAGAGTGATTTTTTTTTTTTTGTGTGTGGAGAAAGATGGTGACAAGTGAAGGCCACTATTTCTCATATAAATAAGGAAATATCGAAACCCATACTCCTCAACCAATTTTAACCAGATAACACATTAGACCTAGTATATCGTTTCAATAACTAAAACCTAATTCAAAACCAAACCAATTCGATTTCAATTTTAAACGGTTAACATAATTACTAAACCCGAATAAACCATCGCTCCTAAGTCGGCCAAATGAGTTACCGGAACTTACTACTGTATGGGCTTAAGCCCATCCATTTGCTCACCGAAACCTAATTGGCTGAGCCTTATTGATTTATATTCTGATTCAACGGTCGTTTGGATTTTTGCTGTTTTTATCGTCATAAAATTTCGATAAGGACTTGTTTTGGTAATTTATGTCGATGAGATGAAATCTTTTGAGGGGGAATATATAGCCAGAATAAAACGTGCTGATGAAGATAAAGCTAAGTTATACAGTTATTTGAGGAGTTTTATATATGATTTTTCTCCAAGTCAAACTATTTACAAGAACAATTGTTAAATTTATTAAAAAAGAAAAACTAAAGAATGTTTTATTTACAAGAGGAGTAAAGTAAATTCGGATACGTTCCCACCATTTCACGACTGAGAAGGAAACAATAGCTAGAAAGCCACTATCTGGGAAAAAAAGGCTGGAATGCCACCCTAGTTTTTTTGTTTAAATTGTTGAATTAATTTAATTAATGTCGGACAAAGAATCGAAGCTCAGTAGCTCCAGAGATGACAGAGATGGAAAAAGGTGAGATTGGATCTAGTTTGGTTTCTCTCCCACTTCGATGAGTTTTTATCACTAATGCCAGCTCGATTTCGATTTCGATTTTGGTTTCTTTTGTTTTTTTTAAAAACATTAATTCAATTAAAACAAATAAATCATTAAAGGTATAAGGGTATAATCCACTCTATTGGTGGCATAGAGACTCTAAAATGGCATGTTGATTCATTTTTCTGGTTTAGTGGCTTTCTAGAATATTAAAAATAGATTCATATTCAAAATATTAAAAATACTTTTTTTTTTGTCGAAATATTATTAAATATTCTAAGAACCAAAATCCCGAGTCCCGACTGACTATTAATTTTATCATCAATTTTCAATCATAAAAAATAGATAATTTTATTTATTATTTAAAACAATATTAATTTCACGCTATTAGTATTAGAAAATAGTTATGTACTAAAGTTTGTTAAGTTAAATATTAGAAAGCAAACTCGTCACATAAAAACAAACCAAAATGTTAAGCAAATTTATAGTTCGAAAATACAATTAATGAAAGTGCTATAGTCAGTAATAAAGGGAAAATTATCTAAGTCAAGGCGTGTGTAATAGGTACCTCAAGCAGCCGATGTTCCTTCGATAGTTTGTAGGATTTATTTCTGTTTTTTCTTGAGCCTTTGACACCTGCAGTCCAAACACTACGGGTATTTGAGTCGGATTGCAACTTTCCAAGCCCGCTTCTTTCAAGATTCTACATACATATCCCTTTTGTTTAATCTCAATTCCATCGTCTCGTTGATGTACTTCAATACCAAGATAGTAAGTGAGTCTCCCGAGGTCCGACATCTCAAGCTTAGATGACATTCACGTCTTGAAATCTCTTATCACTTTGAGATTGTTGCCGGTCACGAACAAGTCGTCTACATACACCGCAACAATGAGTAGCATGCCTTCTTCTTCTTTACGATACACCGAAGTTTCTTTCATGCATCTCTTGAACCTCATTCCTTTCAAGATTATCAAGCTTTGTGTTCCAATCTCGTGGAGTTTGTCTCAAACCGTACAAAGTTTTTAAGAAATAAAATTCTAATTTCGATGGAAGAGTAAATAAATTGAATTGAGAGTAGAAATGTTCAAGTTTGTTAATCATAATAATTAGACCAAACATGTATATATATATATAATTTAGTGACAAGTTTCCGATAATAATTCATTGAATTGAGAGTAGAAATGTACAAGCTTATTAATCATTATGCCACTTTTGTTAAATATCAAATTGTTTTGTTTTGTTATGTTAAACAATTCAACTCAAAAAGAATTGTGTTTTCTCCAACTTGTTTTTTCCCTCCAACTTGTATAGTGGGCTTGAGAGAATGTGTTATTTATAAAATTGGACTCCGGGTTGCTAGAAGATATAAACCTCCGAAAATAGTATCATGTCATTCAAGATGGAAACTTTATAAGATTCAATGATATGTGAAAATCACTAGAATGTTGTTGCTGTTACATGTAAATCTCTAGAATTAGTACCAATCCATTGAAGATGAGTCATTAGTGTGGATGTCGGATTTACACACTTGAATATTTGTTTATTTTGTGGGAATGAATACTCTTGAGGACAAAAATACGATACAAAAAGCTATGAATTGAAATAGGAATGACTATAGTGTATTTGCTGGAAAAATTGCGTATCCCTTACATGGCTATTAGCCCTCTTATTTATATTGACAATCGACATTTAACTCTCAATTAAACATAATTATTCTCTCTTAAATGCGTCCGTTTTGGTCTTCGAGTTTTAATGCCCAATGTTTGAATTTGAGTTGACTCCGATCTTCATGGGCTTCGCCTTTTGGCCCAAGTCATCCGACTTTGATTCCGAGTCATATCCCGAGGTGTGACCACTCCGGGCTCTCTTTCTGGTGACGCCCACTTCGATTATATCTTGTGATCCATGGGCTTAATGGGCCTTATCCTTTGCGGGCCTTCATCTTGATTACGTGGCAATCTTTGGTTGGTCCCGGTCCACTGGTGCGGGATCCGACACCAACAATTAGCCCCCCAAGTCTTTCGAAGTGCTTATTCCAATTCGGAAGGCTTAATCGTCTTAATGACCAAAGATTGCGTTATGAGGAATCTTCTGATTTTCCCGCCAGGATCCCATCAATCCTTTAATTTCGGCGCTTTTCCATGTTTGATCGCGTGACATCTGTCACCATTATGACCGCATATCGTTTATTTACTATTAAAGCGGGAAAACCTTCCCACTTCTTCCACGATTTCCAAGACGGTTTCATCATTATCCCCTAGCTTGCGTGAGGTAACCTTCTTTTTCACTATTACTTTTACTTTTGATCTTTTGTGGTTAAAAACTTCTTCTACTTCTCTCTCCAAATTCTTCTTCTTCCCAAAACTTGAATTTTTCTTTCTACCCAATGACTTCTGATTCCGATAGACCCGAATCTCCATCTTTTGATGAACGGCGTTCTAGCAATGACGAGTGCACCCGCTCTAACGATATTGCTAGTCCGCACTACAGATCCACCTGCACCCTTCAGTCCCTTGAACGATTGAAGGAGCTCTGCCGAATCCCACCGGGAATTATGGCGGAGGCGAAGATTGCTGACCCTACGGAGTCCCCAGAAAACCATCGTGATGGCTATTTCTGTGTATACGAGATCTATTTTAAAGGTTGCGGACTGACTTTTCCTCTTCCCGAAGCCCTAGTTCGATACCTAGCGGCTCTTGAAATCGCTCTTCCTCAACTAACCCCCAATCTTCTTCGTACGATTCTTGGAATTATAACAATCGCGGCGGAAGCCGGATACGTTATCGGAGTCACTGAACTAAATGAGCTTCTAAGTGTGAGAAGCTCATCGAAGAAAACGGGATACTTCTCGGCGTATCCTAACGCCAATAGGAACATCATTTCGCATCTTCCTAACAAGGATGAAAATTGGCATCATCCTTGGTTTTTGATTAAGAAAACTCCTGCTTCGATTGGAAATCTTGCAGATCTTCTCCCTTCGAAGTGGTCTGCGAGACCTGGTAGAGATTAGGTCGCCCGTATCTACCCCGGTTATTTTCTTATTTTTATTGACTAACACCGTTATTTTATTTCGCAGCTTTCATCGCTTCCACTCTCCCGTCCGAAGAGTTCATCGGATTCTTCAAAGTAATTCTTGAAGGGGAAACCCTTTGGAATTCTTTCACTCTTGAGAGATTCCTGGAGGCTAACCACAGACTTAGGATGAGTCCACCAGGTCAGCTTCACAGACTCCCATCTCCTCCATCAACTCAGGGGATGTCATCTCGGGCCCTTGCGGCCAGACGTAAGATGCTTTCCAAGCCGATGGCTGAGGCTTGCGAAGAGAAAAAAAGATTTCTCGCGACTTCTATAGACAAGAAGGACTACAGTAGGACCCTGCTTGTTGACGATGGCAGTACCGAAGGAACCAGATCCGTTGCTGTTTACCGGTTAACACCTCGTCATGAACGTCGTGATCAACGTTCTCCTCGGAGAGATCGATCCCCTCGTCGTGATTCTCCCCGTCCTCTCCAAGACGATTTTAGCAGCGAACCTCTAAAAAACTTGGTTCGCAAGAAGAGAGACAAGTCATCCCGCAGTGAATCTTCTCCACGAAGGGAGAAATCTAGGGCTCGAACTGATCGTTCACCCCGATCATCCCCTCCTTCAGAACCAATGGGTCCTCCACGATCGGTTGATATGTCTTCCTCTTCTCGTCCTGACAGCGGGAAGACTGCTCAGAATGCCTCTCCTAAGAAGGGAGACTCTGAATCTCGAGATGCTTCTCCGAAGTCAAAACCTGCTCTTGTCCCTCAAATCAAATCGCTTACAGGTAACGATTCGCGCATTCTTAAGGGTTTTCACTTCATCTTGATTCAAAATATTACAATTCCTTCTTCTTCCTTCACAGCTATGGAGAAAGAAGGTAGCGTCTTTCGGTGCTTTAAGACTCGATCGGGTCTAATTCTGCCGGAGTTCGACAAGTGGCGTCCTGCAATTCGCGAACGCTATTTGCTTCATGCGCATCACTCATCTCGGGTTAGTCTTACTTCATTCTCCCTTTAATGTTAACTTTCCACCTGGTAAATCATTTCGAATTTATACAAAATGCCAGGCGAACAGCGAACTCAACGACATGATCGAACACTATGAAGGGTTGTTACTCAGTCAGCAACAGGAGATTGAATTATGGAGAGGCAAGTTTACTACTCTTGAGTCCGACCTTCGATCATCTTCGGGCTCTAAGCAACTACTGGAAGATCAAGTAGACGGCCTCAAATCTGAGCTTGAGAAGGTAAAGGGGGAGCTGAAGGATCAGTACGACCAGAATTACCAATTACAGAACGAGCTTTCTGGTGTTCAGGGTAGACTTCATGAATCCGAATCATCCGCCGATGCCCTAAATAATCAACTCATTGAACTTCGCGCGAAGTACAACGCGATTACTAAGTTGCGTGATTCCGAGTTGGCAAAGTCGGCTTCGAAGGCCAGAAAGGAGGTAAAGGGACGCGGGATGGAGTTGATTCAAGGGGCCATCCGTTTCATTCAAACTGAGAAGGTTAAGTCAGATCTGGAATCAGACATCAAGGAGCACGAAAGCAATCTAATCTTGCTGGATCA